AAACCCTAGAATTAAACTACTCACTAATCATCATAACTAAACCAATCAAATAAATAAATAAGAACATAATCAAGAAAACAATTATAATAGCTGAAATTAAAAAGGGAAGAAATTGTACCAAATTAAATCTTGAATTAATGAAGGAATTAAGAACAAGAGTTAGAGAGAATTTAAGAGAGAGAAAAATACTAAGTATAGAGAGAAAGTCTAAGAGAAAGAAGGTAAGCAAATAATCCGTACAAAACGTATATATACTTCTCCTAAAACAAGAATTAACTAAACTTAATCAGACACTAGGAAAAACATGCGCCCGATCGGGCGAAGGGGCGCCCGATCGGGCCCGCCTTTTTTACAACGCCCAGTCTAATGTGCCGCGCCCGATCGAGCCTACGCTCACCCGATCGGGCGCGCCTTTCCTTGATAGCAGTCATGCGCGCATTCGCCCGATCAGGCGTATGCTTGCCCGATCGGGCCCGACCTTCATCTTCAAGGCTTGGACTTCGATTGGGCTAGATTTCTCGGCCCAATCCATATTTCCTCTCGGGTCTCGAATACATGATCCAATTGCCTCTTAATCCAAATAACCGAGCCCTTAGTCACCGGCTCTCACCGATCTTGGGCTCCAAAAGTGGCCGTGTCCTTCTAGCTTCCGTAGTCGATCCAATAATGCCCGGGAAAATGCTCCAACAACGCAATTTCCTGTAAAATATAACTAAAACTACGAAAACACTAGAACACACAAATTAGTAATAAAAGTGGCCCGAAAGAGCCAAAAACACTACTAATAATGACACGGGACAGGGGTAAAACATTATATAAAATAGACATATCAAACTCCCCCAAGCCAAACCTTTGCTTGTCCCTAAGCAAAGAGCTCATCAATGAACATATAAAACATACTTCACCCCAATAAACAAATCAAAAGCCTACGATTCAAGGTAAAATTAAATGAACATGCTTCATTATCAACCAATCTTATTCATCTAATCACCCTTCCTCCCCAACAACTGTCAAGTAGAGCAAACCACAAGAGCATATAGAATTCAAGACTAGTGCTCACACACTCGACTCTCATTTATGTGGCGAGTAAAGAATGTACTCGATCGCTCTCCATCCCAACCCCTTTTATGTGAACAATGCCCTCCCAACTCACACTCTCGTGTGTATAAAAACGTTGAACGCTCATCCTACTAGTCGACTCGAAATATGCCAAGTCATAACTTGCATAGAAAAACAACACTTTCACATTTACATAACTTCTATGCACAAGGTCGGAAGGTCTTTTAAGCTTGTAGTGTAAGGCTAGGGTAAAGGTAGGATAAATTTGGGATTATGTGAGAGAAAAGCTATGCATTAAGGGAGCCAAATCCTAATAAACCCATGATCAAAAATAATGATCATACACATCACCAACATAACCAACTCCAACAACAAACCACCAAATATATACTCCAAACAATAAAAACAATCCCAACACTCACAATTTCTCTCATAAAAATATGATAATGTAGAACTTGAGTAAAAACAAACCCTTTAACTCATAACTTGAAATATTTTCATTGAAACTCAACTTTTTTTTTTCTTTTCTCTTGATTAACCTTCACTTAGAACATTCGAACATCAAACATTTTTTTCTTTTTTTTTGCCTCTTAGAAGTTCACTTTCTATTTTTTTTCAAATTTCTCACTTTTTTCTTTGAACTTCTTTTTTTTCCATCACATTTTTATTTTTCTCAAATATATACAACTTTCAAACTCATAAAAACAAAAATATGATCAAGAACAAATTACTTCTCAAAACCCACCCAAATTGTGCAAATAAAGTGCACACTACAAACTCCCTCACCTCACTCACTAATAGCTCCCCCAAGCCAAGCTTGGGACTAGTAACCAATGGGGCAATTAAGGCTTATAATGTGGCTATAAACAATAAAAGGGCACAAGCAACAACATGGGTGACAAGAAGGGAACAAATGTATCTAAATACTCTGAAGGCTACCTAAAAGAATGAATGCCTTCGTCCTCCTCATGTGCATAATAAAAAGTCATGAAACACTACTCATAGTTGCAAATCAATACTCAAATTTATTGACATACCAGGAATTATGGAACTATCACACATTTCCTAACCAAATCAACTAGTCAAGCACTATATTCACAAGTAGTTGGGCAAAATTGACGCAAGTTTAGGAATCCAAACAATTAGACTTCAAATCATGACCAACAAATCCACAAAATTCATCATCAAATACCAAGAATCAAAACAAATTTTCTCAAGTATGGGGCACAGGGAAGTATGATTTACAGTTCATTGGAACGTATTTTCGAATTTTTTATTTTTTTCAATTTTTTTGTATTTTTCAAATATAAGAAAGCAATAAAAAACTACACTAGGAAAGCAAAAAAAAACTATAATAGAAACCAAATAAAGAGAGAAAAGGAAGAGAATTTCCAAGGTGAAATAACACCCCCCAAGCCAAATCAAGCAATGCCCTCATTGACTTGGGAGAGTAGTCTACTCCTCATCCTCATCCATCCTAGAGTACCCCCCACCGTGGCTAGAGCCGGCTCCTCCATGGCTAGAGCCACCACCACCATACCCCGAACCACCGGCATAGTAGTTAGGGTCTACATTCCCACCCATACCCCCATATCCCTGGACCAAAGAGTAGTCCACATAAGTACCATAAGCACCGGGGTGAGAATACCCTCCTTGGGGGTATTGGAACCAATCAGGAGTAAGGGAATCGGGAGGAATAGCCCCCCGACGGGCATAATCATTATACATTGGGTAAAGGCCCCTCCCAAGGTTCCTCTCAATAAGACCAACCCGCCCATCTAGGGTGCTTAACCTAGAGTCTAGGTTTTGCATCATGGCCTCAACCCTCCCTTGCCCCGTCTCAATGCGGTCTAGTTGGCTCCTAAAAGTCGAAAAGTCATATGGGGCATTTGGGTTGACATTGTAATCGACCGAGGAAATGGGCATGCCATAGGTGAAAGGTGGGGGTGGTTGGTAGTGGGGTGAGTGGTGAATGGGGGATTGGTGAGGTTGTGGTGAGGGGTGAGGTGGTTGAACCTCACCTTGACCATCTAACTCAAAAATATAAGAGGGCTTCCCCCTCTCAAATTTGGTCAAGGCGGGGTTGGGTAAGGTAAAGGCTTGGTCCCTCCTACCCGATTATCGGTGGACAATCCACCAAGTATCACTCCCCACCGATTGTACCCAATTCAAGCTCCCTAAATAGGGTAGGTCCATTAGGTTCGATCCCACAACTTTCCTATGGCCATCGGGGTTCCAACCTAAGTGTTTCCTAGCTATATGGGTCACTAACCCCCCAAAGTAAATAGGCGCTCTAGACCTACTAGCCTCGCCCGCGTTGGCCGCCCTTTGGAAATGATTGGCTATCCTATGGGGTATTTTTAATTTTTCAGCGTTAGGAATTATATAGGATGCCAATAATTCCAATTCATCCCTCCGAACATTTGCCGGTTCATCCCTCCCAAAAATGGTGAGGGCGACAAATCTTTGCCAAAGTTTGGGGACGGGATGTTGAATCCATGTCCCTTTGGCATGTTGGAGGTTCACTAAATCCTCCCCGTTTAACCTCTTATAGACCGCAGAGGTTTGGTCTTGAGAGGGTTCAATAGGCTTGTCCGATTTTAAGTCAAACAACTTCCCAAATTCTTTTAGAGTTAGTCTCACATTGTTGTTCAACAATCGAAATTGTACATGAGTGATAAGTGCATTCATTTTAATAACATTAAAACTTGAGATAAATTCCAATGTTAAATAATCATAAGTATCATGGCACATTTGAAACAAACCACTCATGCCTATGCCCTTAAACAATTTTTCTACGTATTTATCAAGACCTAGCCTAGCTAATGTAGGATGATGAATGAAACGGGTAGAAATTACCTGACGATCGATGAGGTTGATCATCCGAACCCGTTGCTCCTCCGAGGTGATTACAACCTCCTCCCATCCCGGAATTTGAAGGTCCGGGTTGATTGTTGGTCGTGGTGCACTTGAGCTCTCACCCCTTTGATTCCTTGAACGCTTGGAGGCCATAGTCTTTGAAAATGGTGGAAAATTTGAGGATTCTCTCCCTTAGGGTTTGAGAAAAGTTGAGAGAAAATTGGGGAAAATTAGTATAGATTGTAGAGGAAGGTGAGGGGAGATGGAATATGTAAGAATTTCTGATTTTGGATGGAAGAATTGGAGAAGATCTTGGATTGAAGTGTAAGTTTAAGGTTTGAAAATGGAGGTTTTAGAGAGAGAAAGTGAATGAAGAAGATGAAATAAGGAGAAAATGAGGAAAGAGAGAGGAGAAAAGAAAATAAAGGGGGGACGGCCTGAAGGCGCGCCCGATCGGGCGAAAGTGCAGAATTCCAATTCTCAAGTTGCGCGCCCGATCAGGCGAGCTCCGCCCGATCGGGCGCGAACGCGAACGAAATTTTCGCCCTTTGCTCGCCCAATATATCTTTTTCTTTTACTCGATTTTCCCAAAAAATTGCCCGATCGTGCAAGCTTCGCCCGATCGGGCGAAAATTGCCCCTGAATCAAACTGTGCTTGCGCGCCCGATCGGGCGAATTTAGCCTCGATTTTTAGCTCGCTTGCGCGCCCGATCGGGCAACGTCGCCCGGTCGGGCGAATTTTGTTGCTGAATTCTTGGAAGCTTGCGCGCCCGATCGGGCGAGCCTCGCCCGATCGGGCCCGAGAGAGCCTTACTCCCCGATTTCGTTTCTTCTTCAAATTTGTTCTAAAAAAAAATAAAAAACTGGTGAAATATCACTCTCCTCGCCTCTCTAAAAAAATAAACACTTAAAACTGGTGAAATATCACTCTCCTCGCCTCTCTAAAAAAAAAGTAAAAATAAAAATAAAATAAGAAAAATTAAGGAAAAGGAAAACTAGCCTAGAAAGCATGAAGTACGGGTTACCTCCCGCAAAGCGCTGGTTTATCTAGGTCCCACACGACCTTCTCACCACCTTGAAACTCATGTTGGAAGTGGAGTTAGGAGAGTCTCCTCCACATCTCTAATGGTAGCACCTTCATGATACAATTTCAACCTTTGGCCATTCACCTTGAATTCTTCACCTTTGTCATTCACCAACTCTACCGAACCAAATTTGTTCACCTTTGTGACAGTGAAGGGACTAGACCATCTAGACTTCAACTTTCCTGGGAAAATCTTCAATCTAGAATTAAAGAGAAGAACCTTATCTCCCGGTGCAAACTCTCTTGGTAAGATCCTCTTGTCATGCCACTTCTTGGTCTTCTCCTTGTAAATCTGCGCACTATCATATGCCGACAATCTAAACTCATCCAACTCATTGAGTTGGAGGAGTCTCTTCTTACCCGCGGCCTTAGAATCCATATTAAGCTCTTTGATCGCCCAAAAAGCTTTGTACGCCAATTCTACGGGAAGATGACATGCATTACCATAAACCAATCTATAAGGTGAAGTACCGATCGGTGTCTTAAATGCTGTTCGGTATGCCCAAAGTGTGTCATCAAGCTTCATGCTCCAATCTTTCCTTGACTTGGCTACTACCTTTTCTAGGATTGCCTTGATTTCCCTATTAGAGACCTCAACTTGACCACTAGTTTGGGGGTGGTAACTAAGCCCTGTTCTGTGATATACGCCATACTTCTTGAGGAGGTTATCCAATTGTCTTTCATGGAAGTGGGTACCCCCATCACTAATAATAGCTCGTGGAACACTAAAACTGGGAAATATGATCTTCTTGAAGAGCTTAATGACTACCTTGGAATCATTTGTCGGTGAAGCTATGGCTTCTACCCATTTGGACACATAATCTACTGCTACAAGTATGTAACAATTCCCATTGGAAGATGGGAACGGTCCCATATAATCGATACCCCAAACATCAAATATTTCGACTTTGAGAATCCCAGTTTGGGGCATCTCATGCCTCCGTGAAATGTTGCCAGTCCTCTGGCAAGAGTCACAAGCCTGAACAAAAGTGTTAGCATCTTTAAACATAGTAGGCCAAAAGAAGCCTGACTCAGCCACCGTTTTAGTGGGGCCATGATGTCCACCATAAGGTGAAGTATGAAAACTGGTAAGGACGCCGTGAACCTCCCATTCGGGAACACATTCGCGAAATAATCCATCTGCACACTCACGAAACAAAAAAGGGTCAGCCCAAAAATAATGTTTAACATCATAAAGGAATTTCTTTTTTGTTGGCAGGACAAGTCAGGAGGTAGAGTACACTATATAATTAGCAAAATCGGCGTACCAGGGGTGATGCTCTACAACTGCATACAGGTTGTCATCAGGGAAAGAATCATCTATAGGTAAAGAATCCTTACCCACATCATACCTGATACGTGACAAGTGGTCTGCCACCACGTTCTCTGCTCCCTTTTTATCTTTTATTTCAATGTTGAAATCATGGAGAAAGAGAACCCAACGGAGTAGCCTTGGCTATCAAGTATTTCAATGCTGCATGATCAGTAAAAACAATAACTTTAGAACCAACTAGATATGATCTAAATTTTTCTAAAGCATATATAACAGCAAGGAACTCCTTTTTCAGTGGTGGCATAGTTGACTTGGGCTTCATCTAAGGTTTTGCTAGCATAATAAATAGCTTGCAAAACCTTATTCTTCCTCTGTCCGAGCATGGCTCCTAGTGCAAAGTCACTTGCATCACACATGATCTCAAAAGGGAGGTTCCAATCGGGAGCACATATGATGGGTGCCGATATCAAAGCCTGGTTAATCCTGTTAAAAGCCTCAAGACACTCGTCAGTAAAAATAAATGGGGCATCCTTGAGAAAAAGCTGTGTCAGTGGTTTAGCAATTTTAGAAAAATCTTTGATAAAGCGGCGATAGAACCCCGCATGACCCAAGAATCTTCTAACTCCCTTAACATTGACTGGGGGAGGTAATTGCTCAATCACTGATATTTTAGCTTTGTCTACTTGTATGCCCTTATCAGATATAATATGACCAAGGACTACTCCCTCTGTCACCATAAAGTGACATTTCTCCCAATTAAGTACTAAGTTGCATTCTTCACATCTTTTCAAAATTTTAGCGAGATTAATTAAGCATGAATCAAATGAAGAACCATATACGCTAAAATCATCCATAAAGACCTCCATAATAGACTCTATGAAATCAGAAAAAATGCTCATCATGCAACGTTGAAAGGTAGCAGGTGCATTACATAAACCAAAGGGCATTCTACGATATGCAAAAGTGCCACAAGGGCATGTAAAGGTGGTCTTTTCCTGATCTTCAGGGTGGATCATAATTTGGAAAAATCCCGAATACCCGTCCAAATTGTTTCGGGGTTTTCTGATGTCGTGCGGGAGAGTTACAATTCCGAGACTGGAACCGGACGCCTGTACCTGCAAAACAAACGAATGCTCCGGATGATTGGAGATCCGCCTCCGACGGTCAAGTTAGTACTTGATTAAGGAGTAATTAATGCAGAAATTAAAGTGATTGGGTCTCTCTAGGTGAGAGTGTTAAATGTGTGTAATCTGCGTAATCTCCCTTAATGAGGATTAAGGGAGGTATTTATAACCTCGGGAAACGTGCCAATCTAGGTTTAGGTTAACCTTGGGCTGATTGGGCTTCCCTCAGAAGTTGGGCCTAGGTGGCCGGCTTCTCCATTAGGCATGGAGTATGCCACGTGTCATGACATAATAAGTCCAGGGTGGACGAATAAGCGTGTGCCACGTGGCAAACCCTGAGAGGTCCAACTGGGGGACACTTGGCAGGACCTGATTGGCCCACGTGGCGCATTCCGATTGGTGGGAGCAAAATCCCCTAATCATTTGCCCCTCACAGGTGGCACGTGACTGGTCACGTGTTACCTGTGACAGGATCTCAAACTCAGACGGCTCCTCCCACAGGGTGCCGATTAGTGAAACATCTGACTAGGCGCCAGATGTGGAAGTGAAACAAAGCGGCTTGAAAGCCGGCAGTTCTGAGGGAGGAGTCAAAGTGACCCCTTCCCATTTTACAGTTGACAATTCTACATTCTCTCCTGCTCCTTTTAAAGGAGAGGAGGCGGGCCCCTCCGGGAGAGGGGAGGAGTCGTCCTCTTCGGACTCGTCAGAGGACGAATCCGAGTCTACATCTTCTGGCCATGCTTCTCTGGACACAGAAGAGAAAAACAGTCGCCTACAAGAGGCGAGGCTTTCTCACGCAGTTGAGAAGGGGGACGATTGGGCGGAGCCATCCGCCTCTCACCGAGAGCAAAATACCCCTTACTACTGCACGGTACCTCAGGGCCGGATCACGGCCATGCAAGAGAAAGTGGGGAGCTTTATCGCAAACCACACAATGGGCCCCGACTTTTTAGTGTTCGTGCCGGATCCAGAAGATACAGTCGTCTGGCCGGCTGGTACCAGTTATGATGGCGCCTGCTTTGGCTGCTACGAGGCGGCCATCAAGGCTGGGCTGCGCTTCCCACTACATCCGGCTGTTCAGCAGATCTTGGATGGGTATGAGTTGCGGTTATGGCAGTTAGCCCCAAACTCCTGGGTCAACGTACTCGGCTATGTGGCCGGGTGCGAACTGCACGGGGTGGAGCCGAACTTCGAGGCTTTCGCCCACATGAACTACCTGAGCCGGACCCCTAAGGCAGGCGGTACCGGCTGGTATCAATTGACGAGCCACAGGGGCTACCTCATGACAAGAGGTAAAGCAAACAAATGGAAGGACTGGCGGAGCACCTTCCTTATCATTGAGAGTTCAGACACAGAGCTGAACAAGCGCTTCAACAGGTGGAACAGGAATCCGCCCCTTCTTGCAGGCGGCCGCAGCATGCCGCCTGTTCCCCCCAAGGCTAAGAAAGAGATCTTAGATAAAGGACTCTTCAAAGTAGAGTCGAAGGTGAACACTACTTCAGGGGTACGAGAGCAAGTACCCCTGCACTGCGTCCCGAGCTTCAAATGGCTCTACGACGAGTACTTTTTGGCCGCCTGTGGCCTCAGCAGTCGGTGCTCAAGAGGTAGCCGGCCTGCCGAATACTCTGTTGTTCCGTGCATTTCTTGTTATGACTTTTATTAACTTTGCTATTTGTTTTTGCAGCGGACGCCATGAGCAAAATTACCGACTCCAAGACTGCGGCGGCCATGTTGCGGGCCTCCATCATGCAACAGTCTTCAACCGACTCCCCCAACAAGGGGGCACCCTTGGTGGGCTTCGAACCTTTCACCCTCTTTTTGGAGTTGTGTTTATGCATATACTGACTCTTTTCTTCTTTTTTTAGACGGGCGCTCCAAGAGCTTCTTCTTCCCAACAGGCGGACCCCAAGGCCCGGAGGACGACTGTTGCGAGCTCTCCTGGTTCTGCCAGGAAACATGCGGCGGCTGAGAAACAGCCGGCCACTTCTTCTAAAACTCCAGCTGGGCCACCTAGAAGTATGAAATTGTCCTTGTAAATTTTAGACTTGCTCCCTTCTTTACTAGGTCTAATCTGTTTGTTTATGCTTGATGCAGCCGGCCCTCAGGAGCCTGACTTGGTCGAAGTGGCCAAGTCTATGATCAAGGCCGTATCTCCAGCTGAAAGGGAGGCGGTCAGGGGTGTCGGCACCCTTGACCTAGACGGGATTGCAAGGGTCCTTGCTGAGGTATACTTAGCATATTTTTGAGTATTTGAATTCCAGGACGCCTGTTTTCTTTTTTGTTTGGAAACTGACGCATGTTCCCCTTTTTACTTAGGCCCTGCTCCGAGTGAACGGCCTTCGCAAGCCGCTTGACCGGAAGAACAAAGAGGTAAAGGCTGCAAAAGCTATGGCCGCCTCTGACTGTGATAAGGCAATGTTCCAAATTGCCCAAAATGAAGTTTTGACAATTGATATTCTTTATTATCAGGCGCAGGCTACCGCCGCTATCCGGGCTTAGTTAGAGGCAGCCTAGAAGAGGAATAACGAGCTGGAGGCGACCATCAACAACCTCAAGACCGAGCTGAGACCTCTTCGCCAAAAGATGTCCTCATACGAAACCTTGGAGAAATCCTTGGCGAGCGTAAAGGAACGCCTGGTGACCCAGGATAAGAGTCTTACTCAGGAGCTCTCGGAAAAGGCCGAGCAAGAAAAGAAAGAGCTGGTCCGGGAGATGATGGAAGACTCTGCTCAAATCCAACGCATGACTTGGGGCCGCCTCTTCCCCAATGCCGACTTTGCCTCCTGGGAAAAAACGTACCGCCAGTGTTCTGATAGATATAATCAAGAGATCCTGGCGGCTGCTGAGGAAGAGGCGTTGGAGGAGGAGGAGCAGCCGGTAGTGGCGCTTGTGCCGCTTGGGCGTAATGCATCGAAGAAGGATGCAGCTGAAGCCGAGTCCAGCAAAAAGAGTGCTGACCAGGCGGCAGCTGCTAATATTGAAGATCTGCCCCCTTCATAAGCTTTATGTCTTCTTTCCCCGGCCTGCGTGCCGTTTGTTTGTATTTACCCGGCCAGGGGGCCGGGGCTCTGAATATTTTGCCGGTCTTTAATGACCGGCTTCCTTTTAATGAATATTTTTGTTTTGCTTCAAATTTGTTTAAGTATTGAATATTCTGATATCCAATTGTACACTATACCGACTGTTTTACATGGCCGATAGTTGCAGATAGGTACGGATAGTTAGTTACGCCGCCTATGCCCCTGGACGACTGGTTGTCTGTTTCCAGGCTAGACGATCAGTCGGCCATTTATCCAATCGGTATTCGAACCATTTTAAAGACTGGATCCCCTTTACGTAGGCGGTCTTGTCATTTGTAAAATTAACCAAGTAGAAAAGTGGTTTCCTACTTGTCATGTTTTTAGGCTAGAGACTTTAGGCCGTCTAGGCCGACTGTTCCCCACCATATTTAATCTAGTGTGAACAGGTGCTGTATGAACACCTTTTTAGTTTCATACTAAATTTTTAAGGAGTGACCAAGTAAACATGATTGTT